CGGGGCCGCCAGGCAACGTCCCGCGCCGCGATTGGCGGAGGCGCCTATAACGGCCGCGCACGCGCAGCCGCGGCCGACGCCTTCCCGCCCCGCGCCTGCGCCTCGTGCTCCACGCGGCGGCGGGGCCGCGCCCGGCCAGAGACCGGGAGCGGGGCCAGGGTCAGTGTCAGTATGTGCGGGCCGGGGCTGCGGCAGCGCCCCGAGTAACGCGGGGACTGATGGCCGAGGCCCCGTCGGCAGGGACACGCTTCTCCTCGGTAGTTATGGGTGTTTGAGCGCACCCTCCAGCGCTAAACCCTGCGCCTCAACTTCTGGTCCTTCCCATCGCCGCCCGGCTCTGGGAACTTGCCAACTACCCCACGTGCTTCCCGCAGCCCTGCCCCAGGCAATGTCAAAACGGAGACGTTCCGAACGCCAGCTCTCCCCGTGCAGCGGCAGCCTGCTGCTGGCACCAGCAGGCTGGCCTTGACCCGTGCTCTGCAGCACTTTGCACTGAACCATAGAATCACAAGGCTGGAAGAGACCTTTAACATCACCAAGCCCAGTACTATCACCATAACCCCTAGCATCACATCTGTTTCTTAACATTAAAGAAGTCTTCAGTATTGCCCCAGATTCCAGTTCTGCAAATTGCACCTAGTAATACTTTCTAACCACAGCCTGCTAAAGCCATAGGATGTAACTCCCTTAGCAAAGGGAGGCTCTGGCCACAGCTTGCTGTAAGACCAAGCACAGTCAGATCTGCCACCACACTCTGCATGCTCCATGGCCAAATTCCACCTTTGGAGCGTAAGCTTGCAGGGCATGTTGACATGGCCTATGCTGTGACAGCTGCAGCTGCTTACAGAATTACTTGTTACTGGTTCGTGAAAAGCAGAATGCTACTGAACACAGGACCCATGATTGGCCTTACCTATCTTAAACTATGCCTTTTCTAACACAGGGTGATTTCACTCATTTTAGTGATCTACATAGTATAAAATTGGCACAGTACAGTTCAGCTCTCCAGTTAGCAAAGAGGCAAGAACTCCATTTTTTCACCATCTTGATCACATACCTTTCATTATGGTGCTCCATGACAACATAAGTGCAGAAGCCAGCTAAGCAAGAGACATGCACTGAACATCCCAGCTATTACTTATGGGCAGAGAGACATGCAAATAACAGCACACCTGCACCACCACACTGAAGAAACACCCTCCTTTGGTCAGCTCAGTGGCTCCTATCAAACTTCCAAGGAGAGCCTTTAGGCCTTGGCTCTACTCACTGTGTTTCACAACAAGGCACACTGTTGATCGAGGCACACTGTCACACAGGCAAAAGGGACACACCTAATAGCACTGCCACAGAAATCAAGGTTGGTCAGGTCCCTCTAAAATAAACTAGACTCCAGCTGCCTTCCAGGAAAAGGTCAAATTAAACTTGCATTATTTAAATACCTTCATTTAGCAACCAGCAGAGAGCCTCAAGTGTTCACTTCACTGCCAGTGGCAGCAATGAAGACAAGCCAGAATCGTTCATTTTGCCATTACTTGCAATCTAAGCAATTGTTAGCAATGTTTTATCTAAAAACCACTGATATTTATTTTCCATTAATAATCTCTAAACATGATCAAGACAGGCTCTTATCTTGAAATTGGATATAAGTGATTGCAATTCTTGCAGACTTTTGATTAACACATAGAAAAATCTCTGCTCCTTCCAATTATAAAGGATGAACAGAAGGCTATTTATTTACAGACACCTAATGGCAATTTATGTGCTCAACTAGTACTGAACTTCTGATTTACAGTCTGTGAACAGGGGTTTTTTTGTTTTAGCTGATGACTAACAACTGTGCTATTAACAAGAACTATTAAACAGCAGTCTAACATAGCCCCATGAAAATACAGGGATAATACATGTTCCTGCTGAATGCGTACCATTTCACAGAGAAATATCTTCAACATTTCCCAGATGTGAAAAAAAAAAGAAGCAAGAGCCTGTAATTCAAACCACCTCACTCTGAATTCTGACACACATTGAAGGTAGTGACAGATGGAGACTTTAAAGATGCTACCTTTTGGTGCCCACCTGTCAGATTCACAGTAAAAAGGGCTATTGTAAATTAAATACATCTTTTTAATCAGCAGCTCTTTAAGCTTTATCAGTTTAGGAAAATGCCAGTTTGGCAACACCAAACTTTCTTAATTTCATATATACTTCTGTTATTAACACCCATCATGACCCCCCCTCCATTTCCTGTCCCCCTAAAGAGTATACAATCAGGACACTGTACGCCATTTCCTGCCTTACAATAACTTTTACAGTTCTAAAATTTTGGTGAAGCCTGCAAACAAAATCAAAGCTCTTATGAGCTAATATTCCAGGTGACATTGTTCTCAAAAATATACAATGAGATAGTGAAACCACCATCCACACCTTTGATAACCAGGTTAGCACAGCACCATCTGCTCCTGTTGTGCGTATATTTTATGTGCACTTTCCTGGTTTCAACACCAGAGCTTCTGGACTTAAAGAGTCAGCAATGGATCAGGTTTCACAGCCCAAGGGAAGCCTTAACACTGCAGCATCTCCTTCAGCAGTATCCAAGCTTGCTACATTAAACAACAGGAGTTCACATCCTCTGAAAGCAGAAAGTAGTGAAACCTCCTCTCTTCTTATTAGTTGGTGTCATGAGTGTCCTCATCTAGTAAACTTTTTTAAAATCTAAATCCTTCTCAGATATTACATGTTCTTCCTCCATAAAATATAACATTTTTAACCTAAATAATAAATGAATAAGGCCATGATAAAAAAAGCTACCATTTTTAAACCACAGACTACCAATGCTAAAAAAGAACTTCAAAGTGAGGTGGGACAGAAAATTTGTGGGATTTTTTTTTATATCAATACATACATAGTAGAGGTTTCTATGCCACCTCAGGACTGCTTTACAAGTTGAATTAACTTGTAGACCCTGAGCTGTATGAACACATGCATGTACTATACATCTGTTGTAGCTTGCTGTTGCACTGGTGCAAAGCAGCCTGGTACACTCCCTCAGGAGAAAGAAAAGCGAAGGTCACAGGACAGTCTTAGACAAAGACAGGTAGACTTACCACACACACACACTAAAAGCCATATTAGAACACCTATGTTTGTAAACACAAAATTAAAAATTATACATCACAACCCACCTCTGTATCTATTCCAATCAGTCAGATGAAGTCTTAAATATTTCTTAAAGCGTTTCAGCCCAATATGTAACTTTAGCCACATCAAAGCAAGACATGCTGCACAACTTTAATTATATTTTTTTTACTGCTGAACAGTCTCTTTCCAGAGCTCTATTACTTAAAGGCATTCTTTTTGTACTCAGCTTCTCTGCTTTAACTCTGTATAAACTAGTTAACACTTTTTAAAAAAGATATTTTGTCCACAAAACCATCTAAGAAGGTAATTAGCAGGAAATTTTAATACCATGAAGGGTGTTGTAAGTTGTGCCACAAGAAACAAATCAAAACACACATAGACTAAGCCTAGGAGGGACATGAAATCATTCTGTAGGCAGTACTGAGCATGCTGTTATAGAAAGTAAACTTGGAGAAGACATTCCTTCACACTGTTTCCTATATAAATACAAATCAAGGTTCCAAAACACACACAGAACTTAAATTCAAGATCCTTGAGAGTTTCTTGCCTCAGACACTACTCATCTAGTCTCACCATGGATCACATGCCATAAAATTAAGTCTCAAAACCGCAAGTGAAAATCCTCTAGTGATTTGCAGCCTGATACCAAGCTCCTGAGACCGTATACATGTTAAAAGATAAGCACACAATTTAAAGGGAAAAACACAAGCTCTGTAATAGCTCTAATTCAGACAGCTAAATCAAGACCTGCCATATTCTCAGCACAGCATTCTGAGCACTATGACCAATCATGAGAACAAACCCCATGAAGTCAAAACAACACTGTTATGCCCATTAACTTTCACAGGCCTTTTCCAGGCTTTTTGTAGCCCTTGCCCCAAAAAGGACTTAAACAATACTTACTACATCAGAACTCCATTAATTTTTGCTACTGGATTTTGGATACTGCTCCATAAAATTGCTCTATTTTGTGATTGGTTCTGAATGGTTAACCTGCCTTTGTCTAGGAGACAAGATGAACTAATGGAACAAAAGGGAAAGTGTGTAAAAGGAAAAAAAACCCACCAGCTCCTATTGCTTCAGCACTTTGATACAAAGACTACAGTATACCTGTATACCTCAGCATAACTTACACAGCAGTATTTAGGCTTTAAGCAGATACAACTATTCAGCTAATACTACATGTGTTACTCTTAGAATAATATAAATAGCTTTAGGTACGCTGAAAAATCCGTATGTGGGGCCAGGGGAGGAAGGAAGAGAAAGGTATGAGTCTCAGGGCTATTTCACGCCATTAAATGCCTCAAGTATAAGAAGCCCATTAATTTCTTGAAGATGCACTGCCTTCCAACTACAACTGACCTACATGTAGTTACTTTAAGGACTTATGTAGAAAACTCCTTACCATCTGTGAAGTAACACTGAAGCTGAGAGGATTCTCCAAACCAGTGCAAAATGAAAGAATGATGAAATTAGTTGCATCGCAGTTCAGTTTGTGGTTTGTTTTTATTTAAATGATGCTAATAGTATCCCTGAAGGAGGTCAACTGAAAGCATTTCATGTAACTAGAAGAGAAAGATGTATTTCATGTTAAAACATGCAGCAAAGTTGTGCGAGAGATAATTTAAAGTGAAAAGGAAGCTCCTTAAGCACTGAAAAGCAAATGAAGGCTAGCTTCTCCTCCCATCCAAATTAAAGGTCTAACATAGGCTTAAGGATTACGGTACAGAACTCTTATTGTGCAAGAATGCTGAATATTCCTCCCGCCAAGTGACATGAACTGATCTTACTATCAGATTTTTAATTTTTTTTTTTCAGTATGGAAGACTGTAGCAGCATAAAATGACACCACTGATACATCAGTTGTCTTGCTTTTCCTGCCTTTCAGCAATGCATTTATTTTGATAAGGAAAATCCACACACATTAAAATCATTTTTATTTTTCTGCATTTTTGACACCAAAAGTGAATGTCTTATGTTACAATTTTCTATAGGATGGACACAAGTTTAGCTATTTAGATTACTCAAAAAAGCAGTTTAGAAGGAAAAAAAAAAAAAATTAAAAAGGAAAAAAAAACCCCAAACCTATTGCTTTGCTACAAATTACCATGTTTGTCCCAAAGTTCACAGAAAGTAAAGCTTCCCCATTGCTATAGTCTACACAATAATTGTACCTAGAGTAAAAAGATATTGACTATTAACTAATGTTCTCAGCGTTTTATAAGTAGCACTTTAAGAATAAGTAGTATGATTTATTGCAATTTTGTACCAAGCAATAAGACTTAACATCTGTATGCTGCAGATTTAAGCACACCAAAAATGTATACATTCACTTTAAAAAAATTGTTGCTTATCACTCTTCATTGGTAGTAGTGAAGTCAGCTGCCTGCTCAACCAAGTTACACAATAGAGAGTGTTTCAGCATGCTTCCACTGAGAAAAATAGTCAACTGCATGAAAGTAGTAAATCTCACCTTAAAAGATGAAACTGTAGCAGAAAATGCAGCAATGCCCTCTTCATACAAGAATAAAACTTCATATGGAATTTTCACACTTTGAGAATACTTCTCTACGTGAATACTCAAAGATAATCACATAAAGCTGTGTTGGAAAGACCTCGCTTTTTTAAAAAAGAAAAAAGACCACTGCTTAAATTGGAATTTAGACTACTTCGGATAACCTTGACCCAAAAAAGCATTTTAGTAGCAAATTATATTGATGCAATTTTTATTTTCCACACATTACTAATAAATAAGTTCCTCTAAGACATCTCTTGCCAATTAGTTTTGTATTCAGTTCCTACAACACTGTAAGCACTAAAATGAAGGGATACATTTAAATGAAGTTACACTTAAACAGAGTTACTAATATGATACTAAGACTTTTACAGAAATGCAAACAGGTTTACAGTTACATTTACTAAAAAGTTACAGTAATCTACAGAAAAGGTTGTTGTACTCTCTCTACACCCTAAGAGATCAAATTCAAATTGTTACTGAAAAAATGCATACAGAAATGCATTTCCCTTTATCCCATGTTAAAATCCTCCTCCACTATAATCTAGAGATAGAAGTACAACTTCTTTTCTGTACAAAGGAAAAGCTTTAAAAACACAGCTTCACATTTTACTACATTTTTGCCCTTCTCAGCTTCCAAGTTCTTGCAAAAACAAATATACATTTTCTCAAAAGTGAATTTAAATGATGTCCACATTAAAAAAATAAAGCCTACAAAAAGTTCAAAGATTTAAAAAAATGTTACTCCTATGGCAGTGATCTCCTACTAGTCCAAAGTCCAGAAAGTTACCGATGTCCATTTAATATTATCTTTCTTCATTTATCCAATTTATCAAGTTCCAATCACATTATTTGTAAGAAGTCCTTGAGCCGATGAGAGGGCAGAAGAGTTCTCTACAATTAAAAACAGGAGATCAAATCGGGTGTGCCTTTCAGAAAGATACTCATTTGGCACTGCCCGGAGAGACAATATTCAGGTATTTAGAGAAAGGATTTCCTTGATTAGTTTCCATTGACTGATAAACCAAAAACAGGAAGACTGAAACAACAACAAAGAGAAGAACTTTTATCCACAGGGGAATGGACCGTTCTTTTTTTGTTGGTAGTTTCTCCGACTTGATGTCAGCCGAGGTACCATATTTTTCAACATACTTAGAGAAACTTTCATCCATTCTGAAGTCACTGTGCTCTATAGGCCGGCTAGCAGCTCCTTTGATTGGTCTACGGCAGCTAGCACTGTTAATTAAAAAAAACCAAATTGAAATACTGCATATTTAGAAGAGCAATCTAAAGTACACAGGAAAGTTTTAGTATAATTTAAGAACTAAATTATTTCTGGTGAATTCAGTACCTGAAATATCCCTCAAACTCCCAAAATAGTAATCATAGATATGTTAAAGTTAATCATTCAGTGTTCAAACAAACACCCCTTAAAAAACTCTCAAATGCCACTTTACCCTATCCACATAAAAGGATCATAACTGGCAGTAAAACTCTAGGAAGCGTCTCTATTTGCTTCTTTAATGATCACTTATGCAGCCTTGCTGGAGTTTCTAATCATAAGATTATCTCTGGCCAATAAAATATCTTCTAATGGCTAAGCCAATATACAGAGCCAGAAGACAAAGCAGTAAGGATTAAAAAAACCACATACATTGCCAAGTCCTTATAGACAAGGAGTATACATGCATAATTTTAAAAGTGGTCTAGATTTAACTAGACCTCAAAAACAACAGAAAGCAAACCTGAGTGGTCAGCAACACACCACAGAAGTAGTAACTGGTACTGTATATTTTCCATATGGTTCAGACTTTATGCAATTGCATTGTAATTTGAAGCTAAAATTGATATGTTGGAAACACGGGAGATGATTTCACATCTTAACAAAAGGAAACTTTCTCATTCTCTTAACAGGGCAGAGTTTTTTGAATTGCCTAATTAACCATAGGGTTGCTTAAATTTTTGTTTAAATATAAAGTTGCACACAAAAATGTAATAGCCCTTCCTAGATGCCATCTTATTCATGCTAAGAGTAATCTTTGACTACAACAGGACTGCTACTTAAAGAAAAAGATAGGGTATGAGAAAATTCTTTTTGGCTTTGCAAAAGAAAACTCAAATATACTTTTTACGTTAATTTAACAGCAGACCTAATGGAGTTGCATCTAGCCAAAAACTTAAATACTGCAAGTCATTACCACAGAAAAGCCCTCTCCCTTTAACTTCCAGCACCTAGAAGTTCCAATAATAATTCCTATTATAGTACTACCCTGTTTTCCCTCCCCCAATTTAAATAAAGAACGAGCTATTTTGGCTAACAAAACTTGTATATAGAACAGAAGAACTAGGTGGCCATCAAAAATGTCACTGAGCTAAAGCGCAAAAACTGTTCCTCAGAAATCTATCAATATAATCAAAAGATTATATTGATATAATTCAGCTTAAACTGGTTTAAGAGAACTGACAAACAAGCCCCCATAAACCTTAGAAATACCTAATTCCTGTAGGTGTTGATGCTTCATATGGGAACATTTCTTTCAGAATATCCCTTTCTACTCTTCTTTCTTCTGTAGCAGTTCTCTCCAGCACCTAGGAAGCCAAAAACAGTTAGAGGCCAAGTAGACCAAGCAGAAAGAAAAACAAAAAGTGTCTGCATAGCTATCTCAGTGACCATAACCATGTGCAATTTGTAAGAATGAATGAGTCACCCAGTGATACCCAAGAAGTTTAATTCTTGGGTTTAAGAATTTCCATTTAACCTTAATTATTGGCAGAAGTCTGGTCACTTTTGGTATCTTAAAGCATTCAGAGATCTCCTCAGTTTCCTTTAAGATAAAAAATATATTGTATACATACTATACACCTGTCAGCCAATGATGTAGATGACCAAAAAAAAAAAACAAACCAAAAACTTAACCATCACCTCTATCATGGCTGTGTTGAGCAGATCACAACATTGGTTGTAGTGAACATGATTAAAAAGGCACTGATGTGGGTAATCTGTCTCTTCTTGCTGTAATAGCACATTAAAATACTGATAGAAAAAAACATCAGCAGCTTGGAATAGAACATCAAGTTTTCCCATAACCTTCTATCTGATAAATAAGTCTACATTCCAGTCATATTGTAAATGAAGTGTTAACAGAAGTTTTATCTACAGTAACTACACAAAGCAATGAACTCCATTTAAATTCAGACAAGCATTATCTTGCAACGTAATATTCCAGAATATTACAGTATTACATTAACACAATTACATATACTTGCAGGTGCTTTAGACAGTTCTCCAAGAGATATAGTTTTGACAGCTTGAATAGGTTAACAGTAAAAGAATTATTTTCTTTCTTGATAACTGACAGGAATCTACAGATGCTTTTTTAATTCAGGTGTTTGGTCTAAAGTAATCCTACTGCTTGATTCCCTAAATTAAAGCACACTGTGTTTTTTCAGGATAGGCTGATCTACAAGATCAAAGGTAGATGGCCCAATTCTGCTCTATTTTGAGCTATTCAAAGAATTTAAAAGAAAAACAAAATTATTTTGTTCAGAAAAAGAGCAGCAAACAGAGAAATAACACATCAAAACATATGTGTCCGAGGAAAAAGAAAAAAAAAAGATTTTCACACACACACACCCCAAATATGAAAGGGGAAGATAAAAATAAGTTTATACTCTCTCATGTCATGTGACAACACTAATTTATATTGACTGTCACCTAGGCAATGACATCCTCCACCCCCTCTGTACTCAGAAGTAAGCACATACACACAAGAATTTTTTTCACAAAGAGTAAGCAAGAGCAATCTAAGTTTTAATTTATTTACTTCAGCTGTCATCAGTGGTTTCTTTGGTGTTCTTCTGGGCATGTCTGAGAGTTCACTGACTGACAGCGTAGGAGCTGCATGCTTGAAATTTCCAGGCACCCTATTGACAACCTGCCGAGATTCAAAATTGTTCAAACTCAGAGACAGCCAAGACACAAAATGAAAGGGGGCAAGGTGGCAGAACCAAACAACAAAACCTTTATGTGCATTGAATATATGCATGTTAGGAGTTAACTCAAGAAGGTTATGTAACAGATACTCCGAAATAAGCACAGGAAACATACAGCTTATCATTCCAAGCAGTTTCTTTTAAGCCATTGAGAAACATAAAAGCTATTTAGTTCACGAGAAAAGCCAAACTTAAAAGCAAATATTCTGCATGTACTTAAATAAATTAAGAAAAATATCTAAGCTTTTAACTTGGTTCTTTTCAACCCTCCCCCCAAGAAGACATCAGATGGGTCCTAGGTGTCTACCTAGTCCCATTTCAAAGTGAACAGCATTAGGTACTAAACCAGACACTGAATATGTAGTTTCAAGACTACTGAATAGTCTTACTTTCCTTAAAACAGTATTTCATCTGTCCAAAACAGAATGATTCTGTCAGTGAAGACACATTACAGAAGAATGCCACTTGCACCATTGATTAAACATATTTACTAAGCATATTTACTAGGGTCTCGTTGCTTGAAGTCAATATAGTTTCAGCTATGGGAGTACTCTCTGATATTACAGCATCATCTATAGGCAACTGTGCTGTAGCTTCCACCTGTTTGTTTAAAACAAACAAAAGAAAACAATTGAATAAAATAGCCACTGGGACCCTAACAGTGAGAAGAAAAAAAAAAAAGCTTGTCTTAAAATAAGCCTCTCATCACCCTTTTTCTTGGTGTTCTTCTTGACACTCTTGTAGACTCCCTAGAAAATGCCTGGAGAGGTCCACTTTTTGAAGATCCACTTGTCCAGACAGTCTCAGTAACTTCATCTTGAGAATAGGTCTATTCAAGCATCAAACACATGATCACATACATGAAAACCAGCTGCCAACATTGGATACTCACAACCAAAAGCTAAAATAGCATGCATACTCCAAAAGAAATATGTCTACGATCACAAAAATGGATCCTAATACATTCAATAATGAATAGCCTGCTAGAGTCAGTAGAGTTGACCACAATACTTACAACATTAGAGCACATTAATGTTTAAATACAGAACTGAGTAGATAATGCCCAACAGTAAAATCTGCTAATTTGCTCACTGCAATAGAGTGAGCTAACTAATACTGTGAGTAGTCACATGAAATCATAGGCAGACAACATGAAGCTTTCAGGCCCATTACATTACCTGCCTACACACACACACACCAAAAAAAAAAAAATCTATGAGGATAAGCAGAAAGCATCTCCTTCTCCACACAGATAGGGCTCTATTCTCTCAAGCAGAGACAGGAATGGTTTATGCACAGCCACCTACATTTCAACAGGAACTAATCTCCAGGGGTCTCCAGAGGGGTCATGTGGAGATACTTTATAATCTTAAAAGGTTCCACATAGAGAGGTGAAACTAAAAATTCTCACATAACAATAGGCTTAAAAGATCAAGCCTGACACAAGTCTTTACAAATCTAAGTAACAACAGAAAACGCCAAACTCTTATAGCCATTAACAAACACAGATCACTCCCTATGCTTTCCTTCAAGTTTTATGCTCAAGAAAAATATCCTCCTCAAAACTAATCCCAGGAGGGAAAGGGAGATGAGGGCCTGCTTCTTCTAGATTACATATAAGATTTTCCTTTTTATTTGGTTAAGTTTAGAAATAAAAATTGTTACTTTGTTATAACTGAAATCTTGCAAATTAACACCTCATTAACACCTCATGTATTACCGAGTTTCTGGAAGTCACACTCAGTTCTGATCAAAGTTATGCACACTGGTGCAAGTGTCACTTACAGGTCCAACAGCAGAAATAACTTCACTAGAACACCATCAGCCCCAAAACAATGTGTTGAGAGAACAGGCTGAAAAGTATTTATTTATTGAGAGGGGACAGTGAAACTAGAAGCTGAGCAGTTTAATGATTCTGTGACGAGTTCTATATTATAGCAACTACATACCCAGCAGAGGGAGCACAAGTGTTTCACTTTATTCCAAAGTCACTGAAGTACTTTAAAAAACCAAATGCACAGACCTCAGGTCCCAACAGATTCAGGTGTTTTATGTAGAATTGTAGATTTTGGCCTAATTCTCAAAATTTCTTTACCATTTAAGCAGACTTCTGAGGAAACATCTTACAACCCCTCTTTAAATATTCACCAGACACTGTCCTCTCTTCCTTAAGAAATGTTTAATCTGCAACCTACAATCATGGCTCCCCACCTCAACCTCAGACTTTTTATTTGAGAGGTGTTCTTTAGAAGCTTTGGGAACAATACTAATTTCAGAGTGGTTCTACTCAAACACAGTCCACTAAAGAAGGCAGTAAGACAATTCTCTCATCCTAATAGTGGAGAGCTCCCCCTTCCAGACTGTTTGACCAGGAATTACTTATCTTCTAATGAAAAGTTAAAAGTACTTGACTAATAACTGCCTCTCTGTGTTCTCCAGATGCTTCAGTCATATGTTTTAAGTAACAAGTTTCAATTTTTTTCTTGCATGAAGAGTCTAGGAAAAAACAAGAATCTACTGCTTATGACCCAACCATACTTCAGCAGAGCATAGTCAACAAACAAAATAATAAAAAAAAAAAGAAAGAAAAATTGTTGTCTATAGTTATGGTTATCCTCACTGTCAACTGAGCAGGCCTCCAGTCCTATTAGAATGTAACACTTGTTTAGGTACACCGACATCTACATAACCAGAGAAGCTACAGTGGTGAGGTATGCAAGCACTATTCAGCATGTGCTTTTAACTGTCATACTACTCACGAGCAGCGAAGCTACAGGTTATGACTTCACCTCAGTTATCATTTATAAAGCTTTTTATTGGGTGTATGCCACATAAAATTTGTACGTCAGCAGCTGCAATGCTGCATGTTTTATTTTTAATAAACCAACAATCCAGGTATTAAAAAAAAAAAAATTCAGGAAGGAGGAGGGGAACACAGCACATACAGAATGTCACTTTACACTGTCTCAAGGAGAGAGAGTAGTTGTACATTACTCTTTAAAATTTATTGTTTAGCCTGTCTCTTTCTGTCCACTGCCATTTAGTGAGGCCTGAGAGTATATATGTAGAGAGAGTCTGAATTCTATATTCACCTACCAGATTAGAAAGAGGAATTCAAATTAGGGTTTTCTGCCAACTTTTCCAGTTCACTATGAGGAGCTAATTAAACATAATTAAAGACAAACAGCTGAGCTAAAGTTCATCCAGCCCTCCACTGCTAACTAACTGGTAAGGTCCATAAGCCTGCTCAACCTCCCCACTCAACTTCTCTTGCAGCAGTCTGCTTAGTGACTACCTATCTGCTCTCTCTTCTCAAGAGAAAAGCAACACCTATCCTTGCCAAAGGACAGACAATCTTGTCAGCTGTCTATGTCTGGGCTAAAACTAGGGCTGTACAGGACCTAGAAGTAACTAGGAAGTCTGCTCACACCACACTGCCCACCACTCTTCAGAGCCTCATAATCTTTAAGCCAATGCCACACAGTGCATGACAACTGCAATAATTCTGCAAAACAAGTATAGTCCCTTGACATACTAGCTGAAAACCTAAGATCCGACTCCATAGAAGGAAAAAACCTCCAAACTTCTCCATCTTCAGGTTTTATTCTCATCAAATATATAACTGCACACATTTGCTAGCCAAAATCATTAAGCTGTTTTTGGCTTCAAGAAAATTTTTGTGGGGGTTGGTGGGGGGTGTTTGTTAGGGGTTTTTCAGATGTTGCTTTTTGTTGGTTTCTTTTTTTTTTAACACAGAGATCAGGAGTTGAAAGGTAAAAGGTTTAACAAAATAGAGTTACATTTTCTAAGGAATTAGACATAATTCTGAAATTACATCAATTTTTGATTAATCAAGTGATATTCCTTTCATTAACTACTGGTAACTAAAATATGTAAGTTGCAAAATATTGCATCTAGACTGCATATGTAAGATTGCAAGACAAAACAGGTAATAACATAATATTAATACAGTGAAATAGAATGACCAAAAATTTAGTGAAACAATCATCACTTGAAAATGTCACAAAAATGCCTCACTATATAACTCTTGCCTTTTATTCTATAAGTGGGTTCCTGAAGACCAGAATTTTTGTTTGTTCATAGCAGAATTAAATATCTCTATTACACTGAATCTGGCAGGGATTTCTGGCTGAATAGCAATTTAGAAAAAAAGTAATTCTTAAAATACAAGAATCTAAAGATTCAGATGTCCATTATGAAGACCATCACGAGCAGAAGTTCCCTGAATAAGTAAGGAACATCTGGTGTGTTGAGTTACATGTGTATTTTGATTTGTAGAAGTGAAATCTGTTCAGCTTGTACTCTAAAAATCCAATTTAAAAAAGCAGAACTAGTTATAAATCTCCATAACTCTACTGTATTACTCAAGATCACACAGAAAATAATAAGGTAAAGCATGTTACCTGCTTTAAGAGACATTCATAGTAAAAGCATGTTTATATACACACACTATCTAAATTGCAAGTATCTAGCATTTACCATGAAGCATTCAGAAAAGTCACTGTGATTTGCTAAAATACACCAAGCAATTAACAAGTCAGATTCTGAATTACTGAATGTTTTCTATACAAGTCCTTTACTGTAGCAAAAGCTCTCTACTTATTGGGTAGATGAAAACATAAAGACCCCCTAACCTAAGCTGGGGAACAGTGTATCTAGTTACACTGTCACATCACAAGGACAGATCAGCCACCAACTACCAAATCCAGAACTGAACAGTTTGAAAATCTAAAGCGCTTCTGTAAAATCCCTCTTTTGTCAAGACAACAGAACTAATATTATTGATAAGTAAAGGACAAGTGGTACATACAGCCAGATCTAAACTTGGTATTTATTATTTTTCTTCTCAAGACCAGTTTTTAAACAAATTCATGTCTATCTAGTACTGCTACTACAAACACAGTTGAAGAAAAAATATTATATAGATAGCTACTATATGCGTATACAAACACACACCTAGGCATATACTGAAATACATTACTTCATGTATTATATTTAAATGAGTCATTAAACAGATTTATTTAAAATGCAGACATATATCCACAGATATACATCATGTATATACATGGTTTGATATGTATGTATTTAAAAACATTTTTTAAAAATAAAAAAAACACCCCTTTTTCCAAACTTCTTTTTCTTGAGAAACTGCTTCTTTTATTAAATTGAGTTGATCACAAACATCCCACAGGATGACATCAGCCCATGTGACTTAAAAACCTGTCAGGTTTCCAAAACTAAACATGTTAAGGTTGCCTACTATTCTTCTCTAGGAGGTGCTATAGCAGCTGGCAAGTCAGACTAGAACATTAAAGTCAAACTTTGAACATTATTAGACAGGCTAAAAATGGCACCTATAGTTAATTCACAAGATTTTCATGCTGTATTAGAACAGGCTTTCTGAAAGAACTTTAAAAAAACTGCATAGCTCACTTAGTCAAATGTGATTATGTTAAAACAGTAAGGTGTTTAGTGAGCACATCACCTGCAGTTAGTAGCTATTCCACGTGCCACTAAATTAAACATACCTGGTTGTGTTCAACAACTCTTTTTTGTTTGAGTGCTACTGGCATCTTCGTCCGGGCTTTCAGTGGTTCTCTCTTCTCAAGCCTCAGCTCAGTCTTCGGATCTGCAACCAGGTTTAATATAACTAGTTTCTATAATACTACTGGTTGTTGTACCAGTAGTTGAAAACTACTGTATTTTAATAAAAATTCACTTTAATAGGTAACAAAGTCTGAGTTAACATTTCCTTAAAAAGTTGTGAGAAACAGGTATGTTTCTGCATTAAATGCAGAAGAACAAAGACTTCTGAATAACTTTAAAATTATTTTAAAACACTGACCCAAGTATTTAAATTTTGTCCTAAAATTCTACATTTCGGGTAAGCTTTGACCAATCCAGCAGTTCCATTTAGAAACTGGTATCAAATTGCAATTCCTTGAACCAAAGTACCATTCTACGATTGATTGTAGTATGGGTATTGAAGCTTTTCAACATCATTTGATGTTGTCAGCTTTGTTTCTCCTTTAGGATGTCCTTTTATATAAAACTCTGGTTTTGATGCCATAGAAGGGCAAGTGGTTAGCAGTCATCAATAAGAGAATGTATTATTTCCACTGCTTTTCTAAAATTCTAATAGCATTACACCAACCTATTTAGGTTTATTTATAGAAACCTTTTTTTTTTTGGTGGGTGTGGAAGGGGAGTGTTTGGGTTTGAGGTTTTTCCCCAGCATTTGAACAGTTCAGTAATTAGATGAAGCTCATGTAACTATAAGGGGGTAGCTGTCACTTGTGACTGGGCTCTTGGTTGTCTCAAAAATAAATAAATCAATCAATCTCTAACATCCCTTCCCCCTTGAAAGTGCAAGAGAGAAAAGTTGAAAAACAAGCCCAAATATCCAAGGGAGATCAATCAAATTACTAACTGTAATTCAACCCTTTCTATCCTACCTCCATAGAAATGCCTGTAAAAACAACAAGAACCCCACCCCCAAAACCAAACCACACTATAAATAAGCATCTAACATTCCATTCATGTCACTCTTTAAAGCCTATACTTTTACTTTTTGTAAGATGTATGATGGTGTGATTTAGGTTCCACTTCCCCCACTACACTTTTTTGATACAAACTTGATATTAAAACCACAAAAAAACCACACACAGGACCAACCAATCAATCCACCCCAAACTAAATCTATAAGGAACAGAGCATAAAAGGGATTGAGTCATAAGTGAGACATTAAAAAAAGTACAAAAGTTTAATAAACAAACATTCATTTGATATCCCATAGTAAATAATTGCTGTGAGCACCATAAGACAAAACTGCACTGGTACTTCAGTATGAAGTGCAAAGAACACCTTAGCACCTAATACACAGTTCTCTATCTCTCAGATTTACAGGCTCCAGTCTGGGGCAAATGGATAAAAGCTCAGTAGCAAAAAGTTTACTTTCCCAGAACAGGCACCTGGATCACTGTGCTAGTACTCTGTGATGAAGCACATGACTCACAGGGTTCACAGCAGTACCTTACAGCCTCACCTAACAGCAAGGCCATACCCTCTTTAGGTATTTCTACTGCAAGTATTATTGATATAGAATTTGAATCATTCCCAAGCAAGTTTCACTTTAGTCCTACCTTCTTCATTGTCACTGTACTGGTCAGAATCACTGTTTCCATTCTGTCTGGTGTTCTCAGTAGTTGAAATCGCTGGGAGAGGCACAGGCTCCTTCAGTTCAGGACCTTGCTCCATCAGTTTCAACAGCTTTTTCTCATAAAGTTTCCTAGTAGTAGCTATAACAAAGAAGGACACATGCTAAAGATACACTTTTCATCTTTCCTGAGTTGATTGATAGAACTTGGCTGATACATATTCCTTGGGAATATTATTTATTTTTAATCAGTTTGTATGGCCCATAATGCATACCTCTAGGTACATAACTCTGCCTCTAAGGCTTCTAACTTTTTGGTTTAAGAGAATTTTTAGATAAACTATAGACTTCTTTATACACTGAAAGTTATGAAAATGAAATCGATGGAAAGGGAATTTACCTGTTTCTTACATGTTTTGTTTCATATGCTGCAATACATAAGTTGTTATGCCCTCACAAAAAATTTAGTGAGTCTGACATTTCAAAGACAACAGTTTCCATGCAGATTGCACTACTATTCTCTTAATTCCTTTACCCTGGAATTAATGTCCCTTCAACTTAAGCCTGTGCCTTGTTGGCAAATTGAGTCCAATAAGCATCAGAGATGGTGCAAGCAAGCAGCAACAGAACTTTGTTTGCTAGATCTAGCCATTAGGTTGGTTCCCTTCATCTATGAGGACAGATCTTTTAAAAGGTATCAAGTTTAGCACACACTTCCACGTCAGGACTGTGCTGGCAAAAGTCTGTAGAGGTGACTGGTGCCTGAACTGCAGAAAAAAAAAATCTAACCTTAGAATTTTTCAGATAAGAGGAAACCACCCTTGAAAAGAAGTGGCAGACTCAAGAAACAGAATCCATACCCTCTAAGAACTAAAGGCTTTTAATTAGACCAAATTTGAACATCTTTCCAGTGGACTGCATAGGTTCTTGAGTTTTGCAGATTTGAATACCATCCAAGAGGAACAGGTTGCATGGGAAAGCATACAGAATCAGCTAACTGAAAATACTGTGCATAAGACTTTGAATACATACAGGACTGCAGTCTCCATCACTGACATGTCCATCCACCTAGGATTTCAAGGACATTCCACAGAAGACTCAGCATGCTACAGACAACAATCTTTTTTTGAAGAGTTGTGAAATCAAATCCCCTTGCTGTTAGGCTAGTGCACAATCTGAAAGGCAAGGCACTTGGATCTCACATCACAGATGAGTGCTCAGGGCAGGAGATTAGGCTGGGGTCAGGACTACTTCTGATGTAGGCCAGCACAAAGAACAGAATGCTGGGCTCAAAGGGCCAGAAAAAAAAACATTAGCAAAGCAAAACATTACTGCAAAATGCAGTGAGTAGGAAATGCTCTAGGGAAAGGGAAGTTCCCTGTTTTCATTCTGCTCTCAATGCTATTAGGTTATTATGTAAGACGTATTTTCTATTTACGGGGGCCCAGATCTCAACCTCTGTATCAGAAGACCTAATTACCCCAGCACTGAACTTTAACTAATAGTTACACAGCTTCAGAACAGAAGTTGGAACATCTCCAGCTGGCCTAGAGCACAAGAGGAGCAAACTGCAGACTTGCCTACACTGCAATGCTTCAAGTCTTAATGTAAATAGTTCAACGAAAACATCCTAAGTAGGAAGTAGTATTGAAACAGCACTGGTATTAATAAGTAATTGTATCAGAGGAGCTTAGAGCACTAACAAGTGAGGTTTAGTGAGGAATATGTTAAACAGATGAGTATTTGCTAGTTCAGTTGACCTACCTACAATTGGGCCAGGATTTATTCCGTACTTCACAAGTTGCTCTTGAAGGTCTTCATTACTCATCTCTGTTATATCTAGATCATCTTTCTCCTCTGGCCTGGGTTTGTCAGTTTTCTTTGTAGCTTTCTGTGAGTGTGTGAGGGAGAAAGGAGAGACAGGGTGTTTACAGTTAATACAGAACACATCTTTTTCTTCTAAGGGAACAAGAAGTCGTAAGAGTACTAAACATATAAACCCAGAAAAAAGTCATTATATTCTCCCTCCCCCCACATTACTAAAGCTTATGTGAAACAGTACAAACATTTACACCTACTAAACAAATATGCACAAGTTTCCTACTTAGGAAGGAAATACCCATTACGGATCTCCTCTATAGTAAAAAAACAAAACAAAACAAAACAAACCACCTCTTACTCATTATTCTGGTCATGTGTTTTAATTTGAAGTTCAAGTATACAATGGGAGGGGATTGCTTTCATATGACTGAAAAAGTAAGTTTCTAGCTGTTTCACCATCTCTACACTAAACTACAAATATTTATGTTCCATTGGTACTTCTTCCCATCATTTTTCTACCTAGTTGGTTAACATTTCCTCCTCTAACAATATGGAAGAAGTTCTTCAGTATCTACATCCTCTCAACCTACATTTCAAAACCCCTCTTCCTACTTGTCCTAGCACTCTCTCTGAGACTATATGATATTACAAAGCAGGTGCTAGAAAGGCAAAAATCAGAAACAATCTCAGATTTTCAAAATCCTGCCTGTCTGTTTAGGTCTCTGCTACAGTAGCTCTTACAAATTTTAAACCCAACTCTGGCAACACTATTTTAAACAGTTGGCAATGCACCTCCACCACCACATATAGATGGTTATCAAAATAATCTGCGGAGATGCTACTCCTAAATTAACAGTTTCTGCTAAACCCAAACAGAGTGATCATAACATTTCTTCAACTTGGGAAGCCCCTACTACTATAACAGCCATTTCAAGCTCCAAAATTTGGAAGAAAGTGAAGAGGTAAGACATAAAAAAGTATGCTTAGGATTTGCATGCTCTCAACTAAGATCGATCTTGATACTGCTTTGAAATAAGTTGTATTTGTATTTCAAAGTTGTAGGATATAAATAGAAACAATTTCTACACTTATTATTTTTCTCAGCTTGGCTGCCCAGAGGCAAACCTACCTGGGTTTTCTGGTATTAACCAAAGACTAAAATTCCAAATACAACAGTATCTAGCTAGGCCTTAATGCCAGTTCAATATTTGTTTGCATGTAAGCTTGGTCTTGCCTCAAGTATCCTAGTATTTTAAAGTTAAGCAGGGACTGTATGAGGATTTCCCAAACATAAGTGACTCCAGATTTTCCTCTAACTCCTGGATTGTGAATATCCCAGCATGATGAACTTAAAATCAGCTGCTGAAAATAAGTGTTATCATGAACTCTTGGAATAGACTGCAAGCAGTCTGAAGAAAGTACAGTCATTAAAGTGATAGATTTGACTAAAGACAGATTTACAATTCCTTTATCAATCATTCCATTCTGAATTACTTTTCGAAGCAACAGAGCCTACTTACATAGCACACAAAAAACAATCAACCTGGAGCTACATGAGACTTTTATTCACTTCTGAATGTGCTGGTCATAACACTATTTCAAGTATCACATTAACTTGAATTTCACATTCAGTGCATTTTTTCTGGACTACTGAACTGCCTAAACAGTAGGGAAGAAAAAAAGAGTTCCAAAACAAATGCTGGGTTTTCTTGTTGAGATCTGTTTAGACTACTGACAGCTCTGGTGTTTGCACACATCATCAAGCAGATTAGCCAAGATGCTATTCCATATTTCAGAAGAAAATTAGTATAGTGCAGGAAATCAACTTTTCAATGAGACTTTGAAGAAACTGGAAACCTAATTTTACCTGTCTCTACCTTTATATCACTTAGAGACCACAGAAAATGCTATGACAATATACAGCAGAAGCACTATTCAGCATTCTGCTGGATGCTTTACAGAAATATTAACTATCAAAAATCTAACTGCAAGTAATGAGTACTATGGTATTTTAACACAAGTAAACTCACATATCTCATGGTATCTTTGAGTTTGGTTTTTCCTTCCAAATACTATTTCACTTTTTCCTGCACTACTGTCACACACAGACCATCAGAATAATCAGTTTCGGCAGAGAAAAAGAGCAGGGAGGGAATGAAAAAAGTTGAAAGTAATCTGTGCTCTTCAATAATTGGGTCAGATGTATTGATTATCTTGTGCTCTTCAAGGTCACAACTTTTACTTTTGAACACCTGTTCTCCTAAGTGCAGAAGCAAATGACTTCACTGGTACAAGTACAAAGTTGACATTTAATCATTCACTGGACCACAAGATCAGCCCCTAGTGTAAGGCAGGATAGAAGAATTTCATATCTTGGCTGTGGTATGAAAGCATTAACCTCAGCAACAACATTAGCTCTAATTACCACTACTATTATAGTATAAAGCACCACTACACTTCCTGTGCATCAGGACTACTTGTCCATTGGACTATGCCATGAGACAGATCAGAAGAGCTAGCTTTAAAATTTATCACTGCAAGTTAAAAAGCAATCAAACAACAACAAAAACACACACCCCCATACACATTTTCCTGGTCTGGTGACCACTGGTAAAATTTGTCTTACTGTGGTGCAGAGGTGAAGTGCTTAAAATGAGATTGTGGCAATACCCAGGACTGACCACAGTAAGGTGGTGCCACTGATCACTTCGCACATAATGTAAATGTTTTTGCAACAATATACCCAGACCTATAAATCCTTATCTCAAGATCATCTAATTTCATCCAGAGCTAGCAGTATTAAAAACATATTTCCATATTTCTATTTTATAGAAAACCGAAGATGGAAAAGGATCTGCATACCTCACTTGAGAGAGATTTGTTCATAGCAAAGAGACAGCAATTTGGTAGTATTATCTGTCAGGCTCAGTTTCAGATCACCCACGAACCAAGTCTTCAAACAAGTACTGTAGTGAATTATAGCCATGGGGCTGCCACAGCATTCTCAGTACTAGGGCCACAGAAGAACAAGAGCACAAGAGAAGTTCATCTTCTCTCAGTATCATCTCTTGACTGCACAAAGCTTTCCCATTCTTCCATTAACAGAAAACACAAGTGATCAGAATTCAGACTTGGAAGCTACCTACCTCACCTTTGCCATTCCTGCTCAATAGAAATTAACAGCCACAGACCAGTTTATCAGGCAAACTTCACAAGCACCTTACTAGTCCCAGCACTATTCCAAAGACACGCATAAGTAACATCTTGAAGAGGCTATTAAATAATATAAACAACTGTGAGACACCATCAAAAGCAGCATTTTCAAATCCCAAGCTAAACAGCACCTACATCAGGATACACAATGATTTTAATCCCACACAGGTGCAGCTTCATCACTAGAAGCAGAAAGAGTCAGGGCCTATTTACTGTTTCTCTGAATGAGGTTAAGATAGGCTAAAGAAAGGCCAAATCACACCAATAGAATGCTCTTTAATTCTCCAGTTTGCATAGAGTTCTCTCCAGTAACAAATAACTATTTCTTAGGAGAGGTGAAGATAAGGAACTGCATATGTGAAGTGTTAATAATAGACTTACACTGTGAAATAGAGAGGTCTCTGTACCATACACAAACATTTCCTGCAGTAGAATTTTCTTTTTTAAAACCAAATCCTACTGAACTTTTTAACCTCAAAGCCCTGGAAACAACATTTACCAAGAGCTACAGGACAGACAAAAAAAACAACGGAAATTATGCAGCAGCAATTCAAAGATCCTGATACACACAACTTAAAAAACTCACTACCTTTTAACCAGCTAGTAAGTGCCAGACTTAGAATTTTCAAGCCTAAGTACAGTAACAGTCCTAAATAAAGGTAAACAGTAAAAGCCCTAAATAAGATCTTAAATACAAGATTAGGGACTACTTGACTCTTTCAACCCCTTCTCCCTTCAGATGCTGGGTTCCAGTGAAGAGAATGTACCCACTCTGAAAGCAGATGAATGCTATATAATGAAGAGCTGTTTCCAGAAACAACTCTCTTTCACTTAGGTGAAAAGTAAAAATTCACAACAAAAAACCAAATCAAGAAACCAAACTGGGTCTCATAGCTCAATCAACTGAATGCTGACCTGGAGACCTGGCTGGTGTACAACTGACATGCACTGCTAGACAAAAATTACTTCAGTGGGATTCTTTTATTTAAATATAAATAATTACCCCAGCACTCTAACAAGCTTATCTCCTTAGTTCATGAGTCTAGAATTGCAGAAAATCTGAAGGTGTAGAGCAGCATTGCAGGACTTCTCGCTGTAGTGGGAATTACTCTCTCCCCTACTGCCCACAGGTGTCCCTCAGCCAGCAAATGACTGCCATTTAAAAGGTCACAAAGGTTTTAATCCGTATTCTGGGTCACATTTGTACGGCACATCATAATCAAGACATACAGCCACACACAGGGAACACCAAATAGATTCTCTTTCTTCACTAGGTAAGCACATATCTGAGCACAGTTTCACTTTCCACACACCCAATCTTCATAAATTACCAGTTTTACTTACCTTCTCTTTTCCAATAGGGAAGGGGTTGAAGCCACAGTTACCTCAGGTACAGATATTATCACTATCACACCATTCTCACCATAAAGGACTTAACTTGTTTGGCTATTTAATTAGCACAAAAAAACCCCAAAGAAACAAAACCAAAAAAACCAACAAACCAACCCAAACATCTTTACCTGATAGGTCTTTCTTACAAACTTTCATCAAACAGGTCCACATGATTTCATCATACCTTCACTGACAGATCTGAGGAGGAGACATCTGACTGATCTTTTTCAAATCATCACTTTAAAGGTCAAAAATTTCACTCAATGTGTTTCAGAAGAGATTCTTCCAGGACATGAAATACACCAAATAGCTAAGTCATAATTCTACACATTCTGAGCTCTGAACAGTTCCTGTTTGGCAATGGTGTCAAGACAGTATTTTCAGCATGTGTTTTAAAACAATGGTCCTAAAGAGGTAAAAATGCAATTTCATAGTTACTTTTGAGTTCTGTCCTGATATTCAGCCCATAACTAAGCAAGACCAGGGGCATCCAGATGCAGATGGTTTCCCCTGCAGGAAACAGGTGTCTCACATACCCAAACACTGTCCTCACATACCACTATGCTAAACAAGCTTAGGGAAAAAAAGTTGCTCAAAGACATTAGCAGAGCTAGAGAAGCTGACTCTTCCAGACAATATTATCAGACTGAGGCAGGAACAGGCATGGTTTTAAAAGCTTTTCCTCTCCTGGTAAGAGTATAGCTAAAGTGAGATATATATCCTTGGGTTGGATTTAGTATTCATAGAGCTGTGCTGGAAAGAGTGGTGGATTCAAAAGGCATCATTTGTAGCACAATTAAAACTATAGGGTTTTGTCTCTGCACAGCTTTTATCAATAGAAAATGTGCACTTAAATGCATCCTCGAATGCCCAGAACTTAGGAAAAAAGAACACTAAAATGACAATGCACACAGGTTAAAACGACTAATGATTACAGCAATGTCAAAACACTAACTTCCACTATCAAGAGACCCGGTTTAGCCTTCAGTGACTGCAGCATAGATGTTCAGAGTACTCCTCTGAACCTGTCCATTTCACGAGAAGCAGTGCCTTCCCCTCTTCAGGACCCGCCGACCGGTCCCGTAAGGTGCCGACCCAGCTCTAAGAGGAGCAGCCGCGGCCCCGCTCCCGCACACGCGGCTCCCCCGCGGGCCGCCGGCCCCGCAGCGCCCCCTGCCGCCCATGGCCGCCGGCAGCGCGGCCGCACCCGCTCTACCCTCCGGCCGCTCTGCACAGGCACGGGCACCGCAACTCCAGCGGGCTGCAGGACCGGAGAGCGTTACAGCTACCGGCTCCTAACAAAGGGAACTGCGAAACGGACCAATGACCAGTAAACCCATCCAGTGAACAACACCAAGCCGGGACCACCCTTACTCAGGCCAACACAGTATCCTCATTACAATATTTTTTTTTCCCCACACCAAAAGCCACATTAAGGAATATATTTTGTAGATCTTTGACAGTCTATGCCATAAAGTAAGGACAGACTGCTTTTTAACTGTAATCCCAACCCTTTCAAAGAAGCTAAACAAGAGAGAATTGCTGTCAAGACTGCTGGCCTTCAGCAGGCAGCACAGAGTTAAGCATTGACAACTCTTGTGTTGGTATTACTACTGAAAAAGCCAAACTTCAGAAAAACGAGGTTACATCTCTCACTTGTGTTGCTCCTCTCCTCCATTCAAAAAAACACATTCCTCTGCTCCAAGAGTGATTCTGACCCTTTACTTCTTCTCCCTCTAAGCATCCAGCATTCATTCATTCCAACAGCGAGAGTGAGTCCACTCCCAAATCAGTTTGTTAGGGTTTTGTTAACCGTTTATTATTGCTTGGTCTGGGTGGGGTTTTTTAAGGTTTGTAGAATATTAAGCTAGAGTCAGAGAAATACCAAGTAAGGAGTAGGAGAAAGCACAGTGGGACAGAACCCTCCAAAATGCAAGTCTATGTAAATGCTTTTTCAAACATTTTTACAAGTTAATACTAGCATTGACTGAGTCACCTGGATTATAGAAACTTTTGTAACTTTCAAGCTAAGCAACAGTAAATTTTTAGAGTGGTACAGGAAACACAGTCCACTTTTTTAATCCCATGGAAGATATACTTGTAATGTAGTCAAGTATTTTGGTGTTCTAGAAACATATTTAGTTGACTGCCTAAAAGTCTGAAACAAATGGTTTAAAACTCCCCCAAGGTACACAAGCCAATACTACAGTTTCTAAGACCTGTAACATACATAAATACGGAGCTATTAAAACATTGCAATTTTGTTATTCAGATCTCAAACTAACAACATGTCATTATAGCATTACATGTTATGAAGTACTTTTAATTTCCTTTTAAATGTAAAACATAAAAGCAATGCCCAGTGTAGAACACTGAATTTACACAGAGGAGTTTAGAGACAGAGGTTTGTTTCCAGAGCCTACTAAGTGACCTACAGGTAATATGGAATTCCTTTATTTTATTCCTCCTTTCCATAAATCCTTGCAGTTCCCACTTCCTCTCTTTGCCCCTTATTTCTAGTTTCTTCTTTTTCAGAGGTCTGTCTCCTTCCCCTTCCACCTTCTCTTAATCTTATCAAGATATTTTGCTTTGTTTCCTCACCAGAATCCCAATCCTCTGGGACGTCAGACTTACTTTTGCTCTACCTCTCCCTTCCAAGTGTTCTGAGGACACACAGATTACTCTTCTTGAAGGAGAGCTGATCAGAAAAGCACTCTTGTGGCAGAAGGCATTAACAGGGACAACAGGTAATCAAGCTACAAGCAATTTCAGAACTACTTAAGCTGCACAAAGCAGGCAACAAACATACATCCTCCAAGTTTGTTTGTTTTGCTTGGCAGGTATTATCTGGGATTTTTCTGTGTGTTTTGGTTTGGGGTTGGATTTTTTGGCAGGGGGAAACAACACAACACAGGGCACAACGGGCCCAAATCTGAACAACTATCACCAGAATATTCGCTGAAGTCCTGGAAGTTATGATGATACAGTGTTCTGATATTAATACACAAGATAAGCATAAATAGCACACAGCCTTCCAGACATTGTTAACAGCAGTGCAGGAGTACCACCCATTCTGTAAACATCAAAAAAGTCACCCTTAATTGTTTAAACTTAAGCACTGTGGAAAGGAAAAATCAGATCTAGGATAGAAACTTCAGCAGTTTCAAGACGTTCCTCCTCCAACAAGTGTGAAACAAGTCAGATCCAAGCTCATCCTGTTTTACTCAAAAGCACCTTATGAGCGCTACCAGATCACTGTAAGCCAGCAAAGTGTCTAGTTCACTGTAAAGTTACTTCAGTGAGTGCCAATTAACCGTTTGAATTAGACAGATGCTAAAAAGCGCTAAATAACTTGGTTAGAAATCTCTTCCTCTTTTAGTTGCAGTTTTCAATTTCTTAACTCAAGAACTGGTTTTTGGCGTTTTTTGGACGCTAAAGCATGAGAGACCTTAAAAGGATTCAATTTCTCTGCACTCCCTTTACTAACGAGCTTTGAAAGACAGTATCTCAGATACAATTAAATACTTGTAATATCACACACACCACAATTCCAGAAACTGGCAATCAGTATCCAAGCCCTTACTCAAGACTAGACAGTTTGGAATTATCAATTACACGATTACTTCCTTAATATATGCAAGTTTACAGACCACTTATTAAAAGTTAAGAAGGAAATCACATTTTCCCAAAGAGAAGAATTCCAAATAGCTTCAGCTCCCCCTCTTCCTTTACATGATAAAGTCTAAGAAAGCAAGTTCATTGGACAAACTGAGCATGCAGCAGAGGCCCTTTGGTATAAAACACATGCTTAGAGGTACGAGCGAGACATCTACATTATGCAGATCCTCTTTACAATAAACAGTCCACTTCATTAAGTGAAAGCTGTTCCCTCACAGATTCCTCCTTTCATCTAGAGGTATTTACACCGCGTAGCATTGCTGCAGTACAACTGAGACAGCTGACGGGAATCCTCTCCCAGAGTAAGTTGCAACCTCGCGCGGTTCTCTCGCTTCGTTCCTCCAACACCGAAATTTTCTACTTAGGAGACCGCCCGCCAAACCACAGTAAAGGCTTCCCAATTTACAACCGGGGGGCTGTCGCACCCTCCCACGCGCGGTCGCGCGGCCCTGACGGCTGGAGGGGCCCCCCCGCTCGGGCCAGTCGCTCCAAGGTGGGACGCGATCTGGAGGCGCAGTCGGGGGCCACCCGGCACCGACCCGCGGTCCCAGCTCCCCCCTCGACGCAGCGGCCGCTGCCGCTCTGCCCCGGGTGGTGGGACCGTCCCCGCTGGGCACGATCGCGCGCTCAGCCGAGCCGGAGGGTGCCCCGGTCCCGCGCGGGAGGCCGTGCGGGGCGCCCCGGTACCTCACCGCGGTCCCCGCGCCGCGGCCGGCGGGCGAGAGTGGCCGCCCCGTTCGGGCGGGAAAGCGGGCCCGAGGCTGCCGAGAAGCCGCGGCGGCGCGGGCGGGAGGGAGGCGGCTGTACTCACCCGCCCGGCGGTGGCAGCGCCGCGGCTCCGGGCGCCGAGAGGTGTGGGCTCCCGCTCCTCGTCGCTGGAGAAGTCGGGTTGCGCGACAGCAGGCGGGTTGCGGGCGGTGAGGTGCTGCAGGTAGAGCTGCACGTACACGTCCTTGCGCTGCTCGCCGCCCGGCAGGCTCACATTGTTAGCGATCAGCTCGCTCTTCAGCTTCTCCTTGGTCAGCACCGACGGGTCCGCCAGGAACTCGGGCATCGCCGCCGGCCACCGCCGCCACCGCTCTCCCAGGAGAGGCAGCAACAAAGCGCGGGGAGAAGGGGCGGGGGAGCAGCAGGAGGAGGAGAAGGAGGACTCGCCTGCCCCGCGCAAGGGACCAGCTCCACAGCGGGCGGGCGCACGCAACGAGCGCTCCTTCCCAGCCGGCAATAAACCGCGCTCCGATTGGCGGGGAGGAGAAGGAAGCGGCTCCGCTATTGGCTACCGGGCGGCAAAGGGGCAAGACGCGCGGGCCCCGGCAGCGTTGGTGCTTTGCGCGAGGGACAGTCACGCAGTTTAAATTCGGCTCGGGCGGGAGAGGCGTGTGGGGCGGTGCTCGCGCGCGGGCCTGGGTAGGGCGGGGGGAGCTGTCCCTCACGGCGGCGCCGCCCACCCCCCAGCGCCGCCCGGTGCTCTCCCGGGTCTCCCCACCGCTCTCTCGGGTTACGGGCTACGTTGCCTCTGCCAGGAAAGGAATGAGAAGCGGAGCGGGCGGTTCAGGAGATCCTAGTAACCTGCAGTGATCCCGGTCACCTGCCGCCGGTTCTGCCCGCGCCGCCGCCCCCCAAGGCTGTCCCCTCGGCAGAGCGATGGGCTGGCCGAGCCCTCCCTCCTTCCCGCCGGCTGCAGCGCGGGCCGGGCGGACACAGGATCTCGCTCTCCCCCGGGATAAGTGCGCTGGCCGCCGCCCGAGCGCGCGGCTGCGCCTGACCCGTTAGCTGTGGGCTCCAGAAGAAATCCAGCCGGGAAACCGGTAGCTAATCTGTTGCTGCGACTGCTGCCGTCGCGTGACTTAAATGTTAAAAAAAAAAAAAAAATTAAAAATCGCATCTATAGTATCGCAGAGTTTGAAAGGCACTTAGTTGTTTTATTTATTTATTTACTTACTTATAAAGCTGACTTCAAAAATTTTGCAAAAATTTCCCCTGCTGGGGAAGTAGGACTGAGTTTCAAGACAGTCTTGCAGTCTCTAAACAGGCGGGTTAAATCTTTCTGTGCTTACAGGCTGCTTGCTGGGAACACGCACTGCTTGTATTTTATGATGGGAAGGGTTTAGTATTTCGAACTGACTATATATTCTATGCTTTTGAGAACTGCCTTCCAGTATCAGAGATAAGAATTTAAATGTGAATATTTTAATTTGCCCATCAGTAATGGACCTAAAACAGGATTGTTAGTGTTTGCACCCACTCCTCTTTATGTTCCAGAAAGAGTTTTAAATTGCTGTTGAGGAGAGGGATTTCCACTATTCGGGTGTGCTCCACCATGGAACTGTTGTGGTGGCTGTTGTTCCTGTTTATCTCACCATAGCTGCAGTATCAGCTAGATGAAGGTGATGAGGGTTATCTTTGTGGAAAGTAATTTCGAGGCAAATCGAGGACCCACTCACAGGAAGCCTGATGCTTCCCACTGAAGAATTGGTGTGGTGTAACAAAGTAATTAATACAAGTGAGAAGTTTAGCTTGAGGAATTAATTTAGTGCAAGTAGTTCGATGAGGTGGCAATCATCTGAAGTTCATTATAACTTCTATCTGAAAGTGCTTGGTTCTTGGTGTTGTATATACTTCACCTATTCAGTTTGTTATACAACAAGGCTGAGCAGTGGGCAGAAACATCTGCCATTAACAGCATATACAGCAAATATGTATCAATGTGGATTGACTAGTATCACTTACTTTCAAGCCTGAATAGAACAAATTAGATGATTCTATATATTTTTCAGCATATCTTACCCAAAATTTTTCCTGGAACGTGGATATTAAATGATAGGTGTTTTGGAAATGGTTAAAGGAAATTTAATTCCTCTCCAAATTTGATAGTACTAAAGTGTAGATAGTATTTTTCACCTTAAAAAGCTTTTAGGTGCCTTGAAAAATAGACTTTCCCCTAGATTTAAGAATTCACTTCTTATTCAGATATGAAACCAGTTGCACAGTATGCTTCAGAGAGATTCTTCAGCTATCATATTAATGTAAAAAATAACCATGTCAACTCATACCAAGTGTAAAATGTTTTAAAGCAGTGTAAGGGGAAACTGGGTCTGGGGAATTTTAGCCAAAATTAACAGTGAAAATACAAGCTAAAACGTTGGTGCAGTCACCATTTAACACCAGGGACAATAATGGTAAGATAGGCCTGAAGCTTGTTTTCTGACTGTGCTTCTTACAACAATGCAGCCACCATTTGCAATTCATCCTCCTGTTCATAATGTGCAATACAGGTGGTGCTGACTTTTCTCATCAGTAACCCTTTAGGAGTGGAAGGAATTAAAACTCTTGAGCTTTAAGTATGTTGATGGTAAGTCTGGTTTTAATGCATTAAGTGTAGCACAAAAAAACCCAACAGGAACATGGTTATGAAGTAGTAAATCACTACAGTTCAGCTTTGATCATAAAAAATGGATGGGTTGACTGGCCTTATCTTGGATCTGTGTTTTTCGCCTTTTTGCTGTCAGGCAGAACTGGCATACAAGCATAAAGACAGCAGAAACTTGACATCTTATGTTTTGGCTATTTGTTCAAACTCCGATACAGAGGTTGTGGAGCCACTGAGGTTGTGGCTCAGATTAACATTAATTAAAGTACATATTTACAGTCTATTTAAGTTTTGGAAGTCATTTCCCCAACAATAGAAGTATGTATTATCTTTTCTTTTTTGTGAATTATTTACTCTGTTACATTGTTACACTGATGTAACTCCCTTGCACAGATACTGAACTCTTTTATTGCCGTAACTTTAGCCGCTTCCAAAGCAGCAAAAGCTAAAAAAGCACCATACAATAACTTAGTGTCACCCTTCTTCAGAGCAATAGACTTCTCTGGGAAGCCAAGTCCCTAAACAATCCTCGGCACAAGTTGTCCCCTACTGGTTCTACACTTTTTACGGGTTCTACTCTTTATTGTTGCACCTTGGGATCAACAGGTGTTCTCCAGGCAAAGCAAAGATGGGAAAGTAATATAAGAAAGCACCAAAATGTACACATGCATGACGATTAACACTGGAACCTGCACCTTGTAGACCTTTATACAGCCGAGGATCTGCACCTTTATTGTTTGTTTTGTTTGAAGGAAAGTAAGCCACATTTTGTAGCATTAGGCAGCAGTCAAAGGGCCTAAGGGAATGAGTCCATTATGAACGAGCTCAAAAGATCTTTCTAATGTTGTTACAGTGGGGAACAAACCCCACAAATGTGAGGTGGTCCGTATGCCTATCCAAGGATTTGTTTCGTCATTGTTTAGAATATGGAACTGTTGTTTTACTGTGCCTTCTGTGAAGCATTCCAGTATTTGAATGTTTATCCCTAGCAGCAAGTTCTGGTTTTCAAAAACCAGAATACCTGCCTCTACCCGAGAAACAGGTAGTCACACTTTACCTCTTGTCAGTATAAATGCTGACAAAAGGGAAGCTTAGGGAAAAAAGTGCAAATGTTGTGAGACTATGGCCATTTTTAGTGGTTAAAAAAAACTGTTGTAAGCTTGCCTAAAAATGTGAAATATGCTGAAAGGAGAAGCCAAAAATCTTTCCTTTGTAGGACCCTCCCAAATGTCTGGAATTTGTTAGTCTTCCTGAGCGTAAGAAAGAGATTTTTCAGTCATACATTCGTCTTTGACATGAAAACATTGAATGTCTCTTAAACCGTCTCAGATTTCTAGCTCTGAGTTTCCCCAAGTGTGCAATTCCTGATCTCTAAGGCCACTCATAAAAATGAGATAGATATTTTATGTTGTGATACATTGAAAAAATATATTTTCTATATCTGTGTGTTCAAAAAAGTAACCTAAGTTCAGTGGAGGACTTGGAAAACAATTCATAATGAAGTATAGATGTATAATTGGCATTTGTGTGTAACATTTGCCTCATAACACGTAACATTGTGAAGACTATAAATTCATTCATAGCCAAGGCATTTCAGTAAGTGTTACAGAGATGCTGTTGCCTCAGACTGAGCTGATAAGGAAATGTAAAAAAGCTATATATGAAGTATTAATTCAGTCTTGGTGCACAGCGGGTTTCACAATGAAAATGATATTCCATCTGAGTAAGGCAATAGAAACTGGAAAGCATTACTATAAATAAAATAAGCAGTTTCCTAATCATTATAGTACAGTGTAACTATACTTTTTAGAATCAATAATTTCCACATTCTTGATTAATTTAGAAAATGAGGTGGCTTCCTAATAACTCTAGCTTTTTTATTAGAAACATCTGAAGTAGAAATGGCAAAGTGATAAGGAAAAAAGCGTGCCTTACTATAATGGAGCACATTGCTTCTGGAGCAATTCTAGAGTTGGCAGCCACTGGGGAATGCTGCTCTGTGGTGTTGCCTGACATGGTGCACAGACAGGTGAATACAGGGGTGTCCAGCACTGTACAGCTGCTCCCAGGCAGGGAAAGAAATGTGTACGACTGCTTTAAAACTTCTTACTGCTGACACTGCGATAGTCAAAGGCCTGTACCAACAAAGGCTGGAAACAGAACTATCAGCTCCTACTTAAGTACATTGACAAATGAAATGAAAAGGACAATTTTCAGGGTTGTTTCCTATACTGAATCATTTCCAAACTATAACTATTTGTATATCTATTTCTATCATACACAGACAGAGATAATGCCAAAGCTATGTTTACCATGTGTGAGCTATTACCTCAGCACCACAATTTTTTGAAGCTTATATGATTTTAAGTTATTGTCTATATTTAGCTAGGAACAATTTCATAAGAAAAAACGTCTGCGTAAAGAGATCAGTTGGGCTAAAAACAAAGTATTTAGAAGTTAGAAGGAGACAAAAAGCACAGAAGCACATGTGCTGTTGAAATGCTGGTAAGAGACAAATACCCACCAGCATATTTAAGTGCCCCAGAATTAATGGAATCAACTTGATAAAACAGCTGCGAGATTAAAGAGAACTACTATCCCCACTTCACTGGTAGGAAATTGAGAGGGAGAGTTTGCATATAGCTAAGGCACATTTAATTCTTTCATTTAGTTTTGAGACATAACTAGATTATTTTGCTTTAGGGACAATGGGCTCTCTCTCCAAACAGCTGACAAAAACCTTAACTAAGCCATTAGTATTTATGGTTGTTGCTGAAGGGGATGATCCTGCTCTCTATCCTGTCCCACGCACTCCTGGTGCTTTTCTTGTGTTGGATCTAGTAGTTGTGCCGCTGGATCTGCACGCTGAGCCAGCGGCTGCTGCTGTGCCATTGCACGATGTGATCCAAGGGGAAGGAGGGGAATGTGCAGGCAGGAATGGACAGGGCAGAGCGAGATGGACTGTTTTGTGACAACCTGCACTCATGTTAGGTATATTAGTGTGAAATCACACCTGGAAACCTTCGACTCCTATAAGCAGATCTTCTGTATTGTCACTAGATGAACCCCTTACTGCAAGCCAGAGGTATTGCCTGGCAACAAACTGGAATGTTTAGAGCAGAGCACCTG